TGCGGGCTCTACCCATGGTACTGGGCCTCTACCTGCTTGTCGTCTCGAGTGTACGTCGTCCCCAACCCGTCCAAGATTTCCCCTCATGATGGCCCGCTGTCTGATGTCCCCATGGTCCGGAAAGTGTACTACGTTCTGTCTGCGCTGAATTAGGACTCTATGCGCATACTCCCTGATTTCGTCATCCATGGGGTCCTGGGTCCCGTCTGGTCGGTTAGGGCCGCTACTGTGCGGGGGCACTGCGTCGTCGGGAGATCTGGTGGGCATGAGCACTCTGTCAGTGTCGAATCCACTCGGGAGCTCCATGCCTATATCGCAGCAGTGCGCTGCAATAACCATGGCCACGTATTCGAGACGCGCTAGTTGCCTTTCCGCCACGGAGGGATCATCGGCGTCCAATCTTTCCCTTCTTATACTGGGGTCATGGGTGATGCTCGCAAAGCGAAAGGCGAGGACCTGTATCGGGTCTGGTTGCACACCCCCAAGGCGCCCTTCGTAGTCTCCTCCCGCGACGGACCAAACAAGCCAGGAGAGGTCCAGGATCGCGAGGGTCGGGGCTGAAGTGGCTCGCTGCGAACCATGCCCAGGGAGGAGGGCTTCTGCTGGAGCCGCACGCATGGGGCTGCCTGCTCGCATGCCTGGGTGACCTGGGCGATGCCCCCATCCACGCATGGTGCGTGAGGAGCTCCAGGTTGCTGGTCTCGCGCGGGGCCCTCGGCGCCCCTCGGTCGGGGAACTCGCGCCAGGGGCCGCCGATGCGCACTAGGTGGCGGCGGAGGGCGTTGATGGTGCCCCCCCTGCCAGTGACCCTAGCGTCCGCCACGCGCGGGCCGCGCGTGGGTCCGTCCGCCTCCTGGCTGGCTGCCCGGTCAGCGTTCGCGTGTCCTGTGGCGTCCAACCATCGAGCGTGGAGGTCGGCAGCGCATTGCCCTCTGTCTCTCTGGGCTTGACTGGGGCCCTCAGCTTCCGAGGGGGCGCTCTGGTTTTCCCTCCGCAGTTCTTCCTCCAAGGCAAGGTCGGGAGAGGGGCAGGAGGGCGGGTCGGGCACGAAGGGGCCTCTGGGATGCCCCAGCCCAGGGGGAAGGTCGGGAAGGGAAAAATCGGGAGAGGAGCCGGTGGGCGAAGGGAGGGAGGCGCGAGGCGATCCCGCCGCAGCGATCGGAGGTCCGATGTGATCGATTCGATCGACCAGGGAGCCTGTCCCGACGTCGGCATCAGCAGAGACTCCGCCGGCGTTGGGCGCGTGAGGCCGTCCTATGGACAACCCCGTCGTCGTTCCCAAGGAAGGTCGGTTACGGTCGGTCGTCTCAGCGGAAGGGCGTGCCTCTCTGTGGCCACTGCTACCAGGCCCACCCGTCTCTCGCTCTCTTCCTCCTGGCTGAAGGCCAGTCTCTTTTGTGAGGTTGTCGCGAGGCGATCCCGCGGCAGAGATCGGAGGTCCGATACGATCGATCCGATCGACCAATGAACCTGTCCCGACGGCGGGATCCGCAGAGACCCTGTTAGCGTTGGGCGCGTGCGGCCGCCCCATGGACGACCCCGTCGTCGTTCCCAAGGAAGGTCGGTTGCGGTCGGTCGTCTCGGCGGGAGGGCGCGCCTCTCTGCGGCCACCGCTGCTAGGCCCACCCGTCTCTTGCTCTCTTCCTCCTGGCTGATGGCCAGTCTCATCTGTGAGGTTAGCGGCGCGGAGGTTGGGCGCGGCTCTAGCGTCCGCGCCCGCGCCTCCAGGGAGGGGGCGGCGGAGTCAAAGCGGAAGCCGTTGGATCTGTTCGGAATGGTGTCTGCGCCTGCCGCACGGTCGTCGGCGCGCCTTCCCAGGGGTGGTCCCATTGCAGGGCTGGCCCCGTCAACGTCGAGGTCGGCGCGGTCGGTCGGTCGCCCGCAGCTGGCGCGAGGGCCCCCCTGATGGGGAGGGCCCAGCACGGGAACACCAGGAGTCCCAGGGGGGTCGACGTCGTCTCCGTTCGTGGTCACGACTGCGCCTCTATCTTGGTCCATTGGCACTGTCTCTGGATCTCGAGCTGAAGGCTCGTCACTTCTGCGGTTAACCGATGCGCCTTGGACCCTCGAGCTGAAGGCTCGTTCCATGTGAGAACCTCGAGCTGAAGGCTCGTCGCGTCCGCGACTGTCCGACCGGGGGGCGGGGGGCTGACGAAAGTCCTCGGGGTTGCAGGAGTGCCCAGGGAGTTGACTGGTCGTAGCGTCGCCGTCGGTGCCGAACAGTCCGCTTGGGGCGTCCCAAGCTGCAGGATCGCTCAAAGCTGCTGTCTCAGGCCCATCTTCTATGTCCATTCTGCTGCATCCGCGGGGGGCGGCGGGGGCGCGGCGATGGCCATCAAGCCCTCTGTCAACGTCCGCGGGGGAAGTCGGCTGCGCAGCGTGTGCATGGGTCTCCGTGGTGGCAGGGTTGGCCCATTCGCAGCTGAAGGCTGCCTCTCTCAGCATGGGGGTGTCAAGGGGGGGGGCGCTCGGCGGAGCGAAGGCGCAAGCTTCTGTGATGCGAGTCGAGTCCGAGGGCAGGCGTGTGCACGTCCCCCCTCCTGTCACGCCCGCGGTCATCCTCTGGGGCCCCCGCCCTAGCCCCCCCGTCTTCGTCGTCGAGGCACCTGGGTCGGTCGTCAGGGGCATTTCTCTGTCGATCGTCCGCTCGAGACCCGCGCGAACCTGGGTCCGTCGGGGGATTCGCTTGTTCTGGAGTGGGGCCCTCGCCCCCCGTGATCCTGGCATCGCCGTGAGCGATCCAGCTCTGCCCTGCACCGCCAGGAGAGAAGGAAATTGGGCGCCCAGCAATGGGCATGGGAAGGGCAGGGGTGAGGGAGGGGGATAAGCTAGGCGGGAGGGCGTCACGCCTGTCGTTGTCAATCCCAGGGAAGCGACTGAGGGTCGCTATGTCAGTGTGTATCGCGGGGTTGAACGTGTCTCCCCGTCTTCCCGTTTGGCTGAAGGCCATCGGTTCTCGTGTGCACGCAACGTCGACGGAAGCGCTCACGTCCCAGGGGGCGAGGGGCGACGGCTGCCCTGGCGGGATGGCGTCCTGTGATCCAGGGTGAGGATGCCTTGTGTCTGCCAGTCCGTTGGCCGCACGGTCGTCTAGTGGCGTCACGGTCGTCGTCGCCCCAGGGAAGTCAGGACCGTCGTCGATCGGTCTCCCATCCATGCTAAGCCCGACCTGGGCCGAGCTGCTGCGTGAAGCCGAAGAAGAGGAATCCAGGGAGTCTGCTATGGCCGCCCGGGGGGGGGAGCGCGCGGCCCGAAAACTCCTAGGGGAAGTCCCCTTGAGCTGGGAGACCCGGCCGAGGGGCCGGGGCCCAGAGACGGCTTGAGCCAGAGGCTTGAGCCAGAGGGGCTACGGACTGGTGGGGATAAGCGAAGCGTCTAGAATTTCGATCATACTGAAAACACTTTGCAGTACAGTCCTGTCCTATTTCCCCAAGCGGCCTGGCCAGACCACGTCCGCCACGGCGACTATACTGAGGATGTTTCAGTGCGCGTCGCCCTAAGCGACGCACTCATAGCACAAGCGCCCAAGACATCCGATGATGTGTCGTGTCAATGCGCGGCCCCTGGGCTCCCGACCACTTCCTCGAGATAAGTTAGCGTCTGGGTCAATTCTTTATCGTCTCGGGGGCCGAAAGTTGTCCCCATATGAAGAAATAACAGTAGCACGAAGAATTAAACAACTCATGTCGTCGGAGAAATTCGCCGACCCTGTCGGCGTGTGTGAGGGGCTTGTCCGTTCAAGTCGTCATCTCCGTCATTCGTTGGTCGCCGTCTCTGTCGCCCCCTTTCCCTGCCTCCCACCTTTCCCTGGGCTCGTCGAAGCTCCCCCCTTTCCCAGGGACCTCCTCAGCGCACCAGCCAAAGCGAAGTTGAGCAACGTCGTAATTGAGTCGAAGGGAAGCCCCTTCCCTTCGATCCCTCCCCCGCCAGGGGGGGGGGGGGGGTCCCGGGGGGGTCCCGGGGGGGGGGGGGGTGGGTCAGATACGACGCCCCCCCTGGGAGTCCCGGAGCCCAAAAAAGCCCCAAGACGGGCCACGAGTGCCCCAAGAGGCCCCAAAGACAGTCCAAGAGAACCCCGAATCGCCGAACGATCTGTCCAAGACGCCTTGACGGCCTCCAGACGGCCCAAGAGGCCTGCAAAGCGCCCCAAGAGGCCTCCAGGAGCTTTCCCACGAGAGCCCCAAGAGGCAAAATTCATAGATTCCCCATACGTTTTTGAAAGATTTTGGCGTTCTTGCCTCTTCCGCTTCCCGACGCGCCAAGACGGCCCAAGAGGCCCCCAAGATCGCCCCGAAGAGAGGCCCCCAAGAGGGTCAACTCACGGCCGAAGAGGGCCCCAAGACGGCCCAAGAGCCTCCAAACGGCCCAAGAGGCCCCCAAGACGGCTCCAGGAGAGTGCCCAGACGATAGACCCGAACGAACATTTCGAGCTCTCAAGAGCCCCAAGAGGCTCCCAAGTGGCTCCCCAAACTGCCCCAAGACAGCCCAGGAGAGCCCCAAATTGCCCAGGAGGCCTCCAAGAGTGCCTCGAGACGGCGCAAGAGGAGCCCTGGACGGCCCAAGACGGCCTCAAGAGAGCCCCAGGCTGTCCCAAGAAAGCCTCTGGCCTCCTCCTCCTCTCCTCCTCCTCCTCCTCCTCCTCCTCCTCCTCCCCCCCCTCTGCTCCCCCTCCTCCTGCTCTCCTCTGCCTCCTTCTCCTCCTCTTGCTTCTCCTCCACATCCTTCTCCCCCCTCCTCCTCCCTCATCCACCTCCTCCAACCTTCCTCCACCTCCCACTCATCCTCCTCCCCCTGCCCCCACCTCGTTTTCATCTTCGTCGTTCTCAGGGTCGGCGGCACCGGCCGTCAGGCCTTCGCAAAAACAGTAGCACGAAGAATTGAACAACTCATGTCGTCGGAGATCTCGGCCGACATGTGGCCGACCCCATCTTCTCGTCGTCATCACCGTCATCACATTCTGCAAGTTCTGTAGAAGGCTTGGCGCAGGCCCCCGCTGTCGCCGTGAACTCCCCATCCACCACGCGCAGCTGAACCGTGGCCACGTCCCCGGGAGGAGCGCGGATCAGCCACCTGAGGGGCTCAGCGGGGAGACACCGCGCGCCCCGCGCCCCGTGATTGCGCAACGCGCGGTCATCTTCGCGCCCTCGAGCAGCCGCCCTGGAGAAGAGCCGCTCTCCAACCCAATCCGCGATGCGCGAACCCTGGCATCCGACGTCACGAACAAAGAGCCACATCGTAAACTGGCACACTTGAAATTCGCCGGCCCAACGGGCCAGAGGCGTGCTAAGAACTCTGGTAGCTGGTTTACAGTTTTCTAAATCGCCCGCGTGGGGCGGAACGACAAGTACCAGGACAGGTCCCGGCAAGGTGAGGTCCAGAGATGGTTTTCCTCCTCGGCGGTGACTTCCAGGCTTTCCAGAATGTCCCAAGAACGTTCCAAGATAGCCCCGTGACGTGCTCCAGACGATCCGAGGGGCCCTCGGTCGCCGCCAGACGGCCCAACACGCCGCCAAGAAGCCCTAAGAGAGTTTGAAGAGGTTCTCCTAGAGAACCTCGTCAAGCAAAAATTATCCCATTCCCTTTCGAAAACGTACATTTTGCGCATAAGCGACGTTTCCAGGTCCAGCGCGTCAAACACTGCCGAAGAGACCCTCAAGATCGCCCCAAGACGGCCAAACAGACCCCCCAAATGGGCCCAACACGGCCCAGGAGGGCCCCAAGATGGCCCACAAGGCCCCCTGGACAGCCCTAGACAACCCTCGAGGGGCCCCATCGGGGGAGCTCGAATTGAACCTCCCAGCTTGCCGACCCGCACGATCGTCCCAAGACGCCCAAGATGGCCTCCAGACGGCCGAAGACGCCGCCAAGAAGCCCCAGGATAACCTCAAGAGGCTCCAAAAAGTGGCACATTCCCTTTAGAAAGCGTACAGTTTGCGCCCATGCGACGCTTCGAGGTCCAGCGCGTCCAACACTGCCCACGAGATCTTCAAGATCGCCCCGAAACGGCCCAACACACTCCCAACATGGGCCCCTCACGGCCCAATAAGGCCCCAAAACGGCCTACGAGGCCCTCTGGACAGCCCAAGACAACCCTAAGAGGAGCCCATCGGAGGGACACAAATCCCACCAGCCCTTTAGGGCGTAGGTGGTTTAGGGTGTTTCCTCTTCCACCCTCTTCTTCCCCTTCAGGGAAGGGTTCTTCGCTGTTCCCTATTAATTTACGCACCCTCCCCCAAGCGACTGGGAGCCAACCCAGGTCCATGAGGGCCCCCCCTCCACCATCCCTTGCCAACAAAAACCATACAAAACACACCCTGCCCCCACCATCCCTGGTAGCAAAAAACAATACAAACACACACTCCGTCTCCAAATTCGGAGCATGCGCAGCGAACCCGATGCGGCTTCCCCCCGCCATCCCTGTCAAAAAACAATACAGAGTACACTTGGCGGCGGCGCCGGGGTCTGCGGCGGGGGCAGCGGCTGCGGCGGCTGCGGCGGTGGCGGCGGCGGGGGCGGCGGCGGCGGCGGGGGCGGCGGCGGCGGCGGGGGCGGCGGCGGCGGCGGCGGCGGCGGGGCGGCGGCGGCGGCAGCGGTGGCGGCAGCGACTGCGGCGGCAGCGGCTGTGGCGGCGGCGATTTGGCAGCGGGGGCGGCGGCGGCGGCGGCGGCGGCGGCAGCGCGGCGCGGCGGCAGCGGCGGACAGCGGCGGCGGCGGCGGCGGCGCGGCGCCGGCGGCAGCGGCGGCCAGCAGCGGCGGCGGCGGCGGCGGAGGCGGCGGCGGCGGCGGCGGATTGGCCCCCAGTAGCTGGCCATCCAAAGACGACTGCTGCATATGCTGCGGCTCGGGCCAGGCTCGGGTGCTACGTATGTGTTGGGAGGGCGGGTGGGAGTGAGCGAGACGGCTTGTGGGCGGGGAGGGCGTCTTGACCCCTCCCCCTACCCCCTCCCCTGGACCCGGAAGGGGCGTTTCGCGGGTCATCGGAGCGTCTAAAACAGCCTCGGCGAGGAAGTCAAAATCATTGGTTTTACTAGGGTGTTGGCCCCATGTCGGCCATTTTGGGGGGGCAGCGCTAATTGAGGGCCCCCCCCCTTCTTTGTTCGATCTTCTCCGAGATGGCCCCAGGAGCGCTCCCAAGGCTCCCAAGGGTGCCCCAAGAGGGTCTCAAGAGGTGGCCAGGAGGCTCCACGAGGCCACCCAAAGGCCACCAGGATGCCCAAGAGGCTCCCAAGAGAACCCCAAGAGGCCCCAAGAGTCCCCGCGGAGGCATCCAAAACGCTCCAAGAGGCCTCGGCGAGAATGCCAAAATCATTGGTTTTACAAAGGTGTTGGCCACATGTTGGCCTCCTGGGGGGGGGCACTGGCTTAAGATGACTCCAAGAGCGCCTGGGAGAGCCCAAGATGACCTCCAAGATGGCTCAAGATATCCCAAGATGCCTCAAGTTGGTTCCCACGATGCTCCAAGAGGCCCCAAGTAGCCAAGAAGCTCCCCCAGGAGGCCCCGAAGAGGCTAACATCCTTCCAAAACCTTCGGAAAAGCAATGCTTTTGGTTTTCTCGCCTTTTCGCTTCCGATGGCCATCCGAGGCTTCAAGATGGCTCTAAGATGGCCCAAGAGGGCTCCAAGAACGCTTCCAAGGCTCCCAAGAGCGCTTCAACAGGGCCCCAAGAGGCGCCACAGTGACCATCCAGAATCAGCATCCCCTCACCGACACAAACAAATAAATCACCTGCCAGACCAGTGATCACCCACGATTGCCCCAGGACAACACCGCCAGAATCTGCGACGAACCCCCGAAACCAAATCCACAGTCACTGCGACCCCCTCAGAAGACACCCCCAAATCGACAGAAGTGCGACAAGAAAGACCGGTGGAATGAGCGAAGCGATTAAGTATACGGCCCAAGACAGTTTTACACAGGATCCCGACAATCCACTTTTCCTGGCCCTGACTACATGTCCTGCTCCTACAATGACTACTACGACTCGTACTACTGCAACAGCAACTACTACTACTACTACTACTACGACTACTACTACTACTACTACTACTGCTACTACTACTACTACTACTACTACTACTACTACTACTACTACTACTACTACGACTACTATTATTACTACTACTACTACTACTACTACGACTACTACTACGACTACGACGACGACGACTACTACTACTACTACTACTACTACGGCTGTAACTGCTACTACCACTACTACTGCTACTACTACGGCTACTACTACTCCTGTTACGACAACTACTACTACTATTACTCCTAAGACGACTACTACAACTACTACGACTACTAGGACAACTAGTACTACAACGACGACTACTACTACTACTACTAATACTACTACTACTTTACTGCTACTCACACTCCTGGCTACGATCACGGTTACCGAATTACTATTAGTATTACCACTGCTACTTCTAGTTGACTACATCATTTACGACTACTACTACTACTACTACTACCACGACTACGACCACTACTACTACTACTACTACTACTACTACTACTACTACTACTACTACTACTACTACTACTACTACTACTACTACAACTACACACTACTACTACTACTACTACTACTACTACTACGACTACTACTACGACTACTACTACGACTACTACTACGACTACTACTACGACTGCGACTACAACTGCAACTACAACAAGAACTACGACTATTACGACGACTACTACGAACACTACTATTACTACTACTACTACTACTACTACTACCACTACGACGACGACGACGACGACGACGACGACGACGACGACGACGACGACGACGACGACGACGACGACGACTACGACTACTACTACTACTACTACTACTACTACTACTACTGCTACTGCTACTGCTACTACTACTACTACTACTACTACTACTACTACTACTACTACTACTAGGGTTAACCTTATTCTGTTTGCCCACTTTATCCGTTCGAAGAGAGGCAAGGAGGGTGGTGAGGATTCTGGGCGGCCGAACCGCCGCACACGACAACCATACGATTACCATGAGAAAACCATACCACTAGCATGAGAAACCATACCAATATCCATGATGAACCCATAGGGTTGAGAAAGCCATTGCATTACAATGCGCAAAAAAACTTTACCATAAGAAAGCCCATGCCAAAACCATGCAGAACCATACGCATACCATAAGAAGCCAGACCACTACCATAAGGAAACCATACCACCAACATGAGAGAAACCATACCATTACCATAAAAAAACCATACCATTACCATGCGGAGGCCATAACATTACAATAAGAAACCAGAAGGGAACCATACCGTTACCATGAGATAAACATACTATTACCAAATGAAACAATGTCATTCATATAAGAAACCATACTATTCACATGATAACAACATACCACTACCATAAAACGGCCACGCCATTACCCTAAGAAACCATACCATTACCATAAGAAGCAATGCGATTACCAAAATAACACCATACCACTAATAAAGCTAAGCCAGACCATCACCGCAGGGAGGCCTTACCATTACCATAAGAAAGCCATGTCTTTACCATATAGAAACCACATGAATACCAATATATCGGATAATCACCCCAATCACACTCGCTTTGGGGCTATAGGACGATTGGGCTATAGGGCTAGAGGACCATCGGGCTATAGGTCTATGGGGCTATAAGCATATAGAGCTCTAGGGCTATAAGGCTATGAGGCTATACGGCTATGATAGCTATAGGGCTATAGGGCGATTTTGGCTACAAGGCCATACAGCCATAGGGCTATAAGGCTATAGGGCTACAGGGCTGGATACAGGGCTATAGGACTATAGGGCTATAGGGATACTAGGGCTATAAGACTAGAGGGCTATAGGGCTATAAGGCTATAGAACTATAGGGCTACAAGGCTACAAAAACCCCGGGCACCCGGGCACCCCCGGGCACCCCTGGGCACATGGGCACCCAGGCCGGCCACCGAAATCGGCGGCGAACCTCACCTAACCATATGAATCCGGTAGGACACCTACAGAGGCAAGCTCCGATTGGGGAGCAAGGGAACCATACCATTACTTA